AGAAAACCACATGTTCATCAGACCCTATACTACTGAGGGAAGGAGAAGGTGGAAATAAACTTGGCATTTACTTAAAAGACAAATCTGCTATAAAGAACTGCTCTTTTATCTTCTTTTCCATTTTAAGGTAGGAATTGAACCCCAAGCTTCACACACAATAGGTGGGTGCAACACCACTTGAGTCACATCCCCAGCCCTTTTGTCTGTATTTTCTTTTTGGGGATATAATCTAGTTTACTTGAGCTAGCCTGGAACTGTGATCCTCCCACCTCAGCCTCCCAAGAAGCTGGAACTATAGGAATGAATTATCAGGGTGGGTTTTTACCTAGCTTTTATAAGAAAGGTCTTACAGTGTCTCATCCTGAAGTGAAATGCTCATGGAAATTAGCTACCTCCATCTGCTCTACTCTGAAACCTCCTCAATCACCACCTAATTAATAATGTGGATTTCCTATTCATAAGCAAGAAGAGGGTGATCTGGTTGGGAAAAATGACAGAAATGATCAAAATAACAGCAGTGAATGGTCCTCATTTCAAATAAATATACTGGTTTCTATACAAGTTTCTTAAAATAGGATAAGTCAGTTCGATTCTGAATTTGATCTCCCTGAGGTGCTCTGACAAGCCCTGAATTCCCATAGCTAAAAAGGTAAGGCTCAGAGCGAAGAGAAGGATGAGCTGAACCGAACTGTGCTGTGTGTGAAAGGCCTGCCCACGTGGTTTCCCTGGGTGAAATTTTAATCACATCTCTTAGCTATGGCAGGAACTTAGATTTACGTTATAACTCCTTTGTATTAGGTACTCTGCTGGTCGCTTTCAAGATTTATCTTACTTAGTTTTAACAACCTAAGGAAGTAAACAGCCGTAGGACAGGGAAGTTACTTTGTCTAAGATGACACAGTTAATATTTAACAGATTTATGTAGGACTGACTGACTTAAAAAATGTGTCTTTCTATTACAATAAATTACTTCCATTTATTTTTAGAAAGCTCTGTTAGAAGTTCTTCCTTACACTACAGCAAAAAAAAAAAAAAAAAATCTGCCCTTTGGTCCTAGTTATTTGTACCTTTGATTGGATTCCTGGCCTCCTTTTGTAGTTATTTGGGTGCATACAGCTTCCTTCTCTCTTTGAATAGATAAGAATAGCCTGGAGAAGAGAAACCACTGTTCTACTCATCTTCCTGACCCTCTAACAGCATCTAGGACAGTAGCTTGTAAACAGAAAGTATCCGATTTTGTTTTGCTGAAGTCACAAAATGAGAGCTACAGACTACAGCTGTCAATATTAGGAGGAAAAATTCCATTACTATGAAGTGAAATTTTTTAAAAAGTAGAAAAATAGAAGTGAATTTTTTAAAAACACACACAAAAGAAACTATCTTTAGTAACCAAAGAACAAGACTAATCCCCACTGGAGGTGTGGAAGGCTGCGGTTAGGGAAATAGGGCCCAAGGCCTAAAGGGTGTAGAGCAGGACCAATTCAGGAAAACCTTCAGACTGGTTAAGACGGCAAAGAGCCAGAGAGAGAGAGGAGGAGGCTGCCCAGGCACGGCTGGGCCTGACATAATAGATGGTGAGTATACTGACATAATAGATGGTGAGTATACAGACCAGTTCTATGACTTACTGGAGTGAAACTAATGCATGACTCAAAATGTCCAGGTTCAAGAATGAAGACCAGATCTAGCCAGTTATTTTTCAGGAGATGGTTTTAGAGGGACTTATTCATGATGTAATAGAGTAATCTGATGGACTGAATTAGAAAACAGACAAGAGTCCATTTGCCCTGTATGGAACACAGGTAAAAGCTATGAAAGATGCAAATCGGCTGCTGTCCCTATTTTATCCTGAAAGTGGTATCCTTGCTCTACAGCAGCATTCTCACTGGTGATTCTGCCAGGGGACACTGGGCAATATTTACCTACTGACATGTCACAACTAGGAGTGAATGGTGCCATCTACTTAGAACACAGAAGCCTGGGCTGATATTATACCCTACTTTGAACAGGCAGCCACTCCACAACAAAGCATCATCTGGACCAAAATGTCAACAGCATCAAGGTTGAGAAGCTCTGGTCTGCAGGGGCTTCCATCTAAACCATAGCAAAGAGAATGTGTCTACCCTGATTTAAGTCAATGCTTAATTCTGTGATATCTGTTCAGTAACCACAATAATGAAAACAGCAACTATTTTTTCCCCAGTATTGGGGTTTGAACTCAGGACCTTGTACTTGTTAGGCAGGCACTCTACAAAGTTTTCAGCCCAGTTTGCTTTTGTTATTTTTCAAGTAGGGTCTTGTACTTATGCCAGGGCAAGCCTGAACTGCAATCCCCCTATTTCTACTTTCTTCCTAACTGTGATGACAGGTTTGAGCTTTTTACTGGGCTGGCCTCAAACTATGATTCTCCCAATCTCAGCCTCCAGAGTAGCTAATCTTCCAGTGTAAGTCATTATTGGCTAGATTTGGACTTTTAAACTATGCTGAAACTACTAAGACTGTGGGACTTCTGGGAGATGGACCTAAACTGCATTTTGTATTTGTGAGATCAATGTGAACCTTTGGGACAGGGGGTTGTGCTAGGATATAGAATCCTTCTCACTTCCAACTCGTGTGTGTGTGTTTGGTCCCTACTGCACTATTCAGAGTGATGGTGTGGTGAGTGGATCGTGAAGGCTCTCACCCAGTCATGAATTAATACATTCATGGCCTCATAATTTGGTGGCATTACTGGGAGATGACAGAAACTAGATTAGTTGAATATAGTAGGTACCTGAGGATATACTTTTGAATGGTGACCTGATCTTCATCCTCTTCTCTCTCTTTCTACCTCCTGGTTATTATGACATGAGCAGCTTTGACTCCCACCACACTTTTCTGCCAACATGGTATCATACCTCACCATAAGCCTACAGCAATGGAGCCAGTCAGACTATGTACTGAAACCAGGAGTAAAAATAAATCTTTTCTCCTTTTTTTTTTCTCATCCTGATGGAAAATTAACACACCAAGCTAACTACTATCTCTATGATTGTTCACATAGTTCTTATGAAAATCTTGTGGAATATTATTGGTTCCATCTTGCAATCTTGGAGAGGTAGAAACTTTATCCTTGTGCTGAGTAATTACATGGTTAACATCACCCTCACATGACCCTTCCCAAATCAGCAATTAACTGTGTACAGCAGAGACATTCAAAGGAAGCCGGGCTCTAGTGGCTCATGCCTGTAATCCTAGCTACTCAGCAACTGAGATCTGAGGATCTCAGTTCAAAGCCAGACCAGGCAGGAGAGTCCATGAGACTCTTTATCTCCAATAAACCACCAGAAAACCAGAAGTGGCACTATGGCTCAAATGGTAGAGTGCTAGACTTGAGGTGAAGAGCTCAGGGACACTGCCCAGGCCCAGAGTTTAAGCCCCACAACCAATAAAAACAAACAAAAACAAACAAACAAAAACCCAGAGACATTCAAAGGAAAGCTCAGTGTGAACATCTAGGGATAGATCTTATCCTTGAGACTGATGTGAGTCAGAAAGCTCACAGAGCTGTCTTCCAGCAAAGTGTAGCATGGGCATTTGGCATCCACTCTTTGGCTTCCTATTCCTTGGTACTACCTATCTTAGAAAAGCCAGGAGTAGTACAACGACATCGTGAAAATTAACAGAGTATTCATAGAAGGATAATGAAGACAATAAATGAAGAATAAATAGCACTGTGATAAGCAATGATACATTTATAAAATTTTTTAAAACCATCAATTGATTCAAATGCCTACATGACACAACTGAGGAATGGAGGCCTGGGAGAAAGTTTACTTGCTTAAGGTCACAATGTCAAAACATGAGAACGGCTCAAGCATACTGCAGACTGAAAACCAGAGGAACTTCCCACACAACGACAAAGGACTGTGGTTCCCAGATTCTCTGTAAAAATAGGTGTTTCCTTACATAATCCAATGCCACCGTTACACCTGCCAGGATCAGCATCACTCCATCTAACAGCCAATTCATTATTAAATTGCCTTATTTACCTCCAAAGGTATTTTTAGAGTTGGCCTATTAAATCTGGATTCAAACAAGGGCCATAGAGTCTTAAGGATCTTAAGTGTCTGATAACCTAAGCAGTCCTCTCCCTTTTTACCTTCATAGGGTTGTCTTATGACAGAAACTAGGTCAGCCGCTTTATACAATATCCCACATACTGGATTTGACTATTTACTTCCTTGTGTTGTCAATTAACTTATTCTTTTTATCCCTTGTACTTTTGGTAAGTGAAAGTAGCTTTAGAGGTTCGGGTTTCACTTTTGTGTGTGTGTGAGAACACTGCATGGGAGGTACTGAGTGCTTCCCATTGGGCCACATCAAGAGGGCCATGTCTGCCTTGTCCTACTTTTAGGAATGCTAAGCTTGATCAGATTCTGAAGGGAGATGGCCCAAGCCCTCCATCGACCTTTCACCCCAGACTGGAGAGGCCCAGGCGGGAAGAATGCTAGTTTGTGGTCAGCCTGGGCTATGCACAAAACAAAAGCCAGCAAATAAAAGATAAAAGTAAATGAAAGATGCTGGTATCTGTGCAGTATCTCTATGAGCAAACCTGGTATCCCTCCTGTCACATTTCCTAACCGGTCGTATCTCTGCATCCCGTGTTCTCCTCCGGGACAAGAACACCCGAGGGACACCTCCACTTCCAGGTTCCTCTTTCTTCCAGGGCCCCCAACCCGCTATCCACCCATCCCTTCCGGTGCAGGGTGCCGGCGCCCTGCTCCCCCAGGGCGGCAGGGGGCGCCTCAGGCCCAGGCGCCGCCCCCGGGGACCCCCGCAGCTCCCATTTGGGGGAGGGGGGGACGGGGGTCCGCGAAGCGCGGGAATCCAAGCAGAAGGTGGCCCTGCCCTCTCCTCGGCCCGAGTCCAACCGGAAAGGCCGCTGGGAGGCCGGCGCCATGGGCAGGGGGGACCGTGGGGGGGGCGGGCGGGCCTGTTGCTGCTCCTGCCGGGTGAGCCCCGGGCCCAGGGCGGGCAGACAGGCCTAATTCCGTTCCTCTCAACCCCAAGCAGGAGGAGGCTCTCGATGGCCAGCCACCGAGAACGTTAGCGGAAGGTCTCAGCCGCCGTGTCCGAGAGGAGGCCGGAGGCCGGACCCCACGTGCGGCGGAGGAGGAAGAAGGAAGGAAGGCCGCAGGAGGTCCTCACGGAAGAAGGCATCATATACAGCCCAGGCGCCGCTGGGCTGCTCTGTGCTGGACACGGGCAGTCCACACACTAAGATCCCTGTCTTCATGGGACCGGGAGTCAGTAAAGTAGAAGGCATGTGAGAAGTCACTAGAAAAAGCTGTAGGAGGACAGGAACAGCTGAAGTCCAGGGGGAAGAGGTGAGTCGCAGTTTAAAATAAGGTGGTCAGAGACAGCCTCACGAAGGAGCCGTTTGAGCCAGGTCTTGGAGAGGCTGCTGGGGAGGCAGCTGCGTGGTAGAGCGCTTGCTTGCAGGGGCTAGGCCCTGGGTTCCATAGCCCACATTACCAAAACCCAAAACACTACCACCAACAGAACTAGAAAACCCAGTCTGATGGGAATAACTAAGTCAGCTAAGAGGATCCAGGAAAATGACATTTCAAGAGGATGGAATAGGAGCAGCTTCTAGCATAAGCATGTTGTTATTTTTTTCTGGCCCTTACAGACTTAAAAGAATTTGAACTGCAGCAGAGAATGATACATAAATGCTGCAAAATGCCAATTTAGTTAAACAGTACAAACCAGCTTATAAATCTCAAAAGCAAGGCTGGGAAGGTGGTTTAGTGGTAGAGTGCTTGCCAAGCAGGCATGAAGCCCTAGGTTCGAGTCCTCAGTACCACATAAAGAGAAAAAAACTGGAAGTGGTGTTGTGGCTTAAGTGGTAGCGTGCTAGCCTTGACCAAAAGAAGCTCAGAGACAGTGTCCAGGCCCTGAGTTCAAGCCCAGGACTGGCCAGAAAAAAAAAAGCATTTCAGAGCATTGCTTTGTTTACAACTGGAAATACCTGAATTCAGTGAATATAGATACAAGATGTCTTAAGCACTAATAACATGTCCTCCTTAGGGTTTTCCCTCTGTTCTGTTTCCAAAAAGAAAGACTTACAATCAGGTGAGTGGTCTCCACAGGCTGGGTTTGAACTCAGATGGGGCAGAGCATGGACTCCAGGGAGGGCTTAGATCCTTGGAAGGGGTAAGGTCTGGGGATGAAAGGAAGGGGACCAGATCTCCGCAGTTCTCTTTCACTTCTTTCTCTAGTGTGTGGACAACCTGTATTTTCAAGCCACATCATCAGTGGCCAGGATGCTGCTATCAGACGCTGGCCTTGGCAAGTCAGCCTTCATTTGGACAGGGCCCCTATCTGCGGAGGGTCCCTCATCAGTAAGAACTGGATACTGACCGCCGCACACTGCCTACCAAAGTGAGTTCTAGCTGCTATCATGTGGACAGCCAGCTTTTCTGTAAATGTTGGAATGGTTTCACAAACGAACCATGTAAATGAGTGGACTGTCCTCACCTTGGTAGAGGACAGTCATTGTAGTAGAAATTTTCTAACTTTTAATCAAATCACTTCCTAAATATGAGCAGAGGGGTTGTCTTAGCTTTTTGTTTTCTTTGGAGGGGGGTGTCATAACCATGGCCCTCTCACAGAGCCATTATATTCAAGAAGTTGCCTTTAGAACAAGCAGCCACGGGGAGAGACCCCATCACACTAGAACTTGTCTTCCAGGAAATGACTCTGCTGAAGGCCTAAAGCAATAAACCAGAGTCTGGAATCCAGTTCTCCCCCAAGCAAACTTGTGATACCTGAGCCCACCTGGAGTTAGGAACCCAGTGACATACATGTCAGTTTTTCTGAGCCACTAGGCCTTGCCATAATGTGTTACATAATAATTGATAACTAACCTGGACAGAAGTCAAAACAGCAGGGCTTTTCAACAACCACAGTGAATGCTCAAAGAGAATGAAGTAACAACGTCAAAATGCTGAGGGCAAATCAGCCTAAAATTCTCCCCATATATAAAATACCAATTAATATGGGGTACAAAGGATACATTTCCAAACATGCAAAGCAGCCAAAATGTTACCTCTCAAGCACACTTTCTGGGGAAGTCATAGGCTCATGTGTTTCACCAACATGAAGGGAAAATAAAAAGAGAAAGATGAGATCCAGACAGAATTCCCAAGAAGATCATAAAATTTAAGGGAAGTGCCCGAATGATGGCAGCCTTGACAGAACCAGAGGGCAGAGGACACTAATAAAGGCAGTCTTCATAGAATGCATGGCAGGCTTGGATGTGAGATTTACAGTTTGGACAGAGTTTGTGGAAACAATGATGAATCACTCATGGGTACATAGAAAATTAAGAGAGCAAAGTGAGATGCCATTATTAACTCTAGGAGAAGCAAAAGGCTTTACAAGAAATGTAATCACGAGACCAGATATAATGTTTGCTCAGCCACGGGGACGTGCACATAAATCCTGTGCTAACAGAAACTTATGACAACACTGGGGAAGAAGATGGATAAAAAAAGAGAAGGCTATCTCGGGCCTGTTTTGTTGGTCTAGACTTGGTTTTGTATGTGTATTTTAGTTAATATTATCAAGTATTAAGGGTTAAGTCTTAATGCTAAAAGTAAAAAGTAGAAAATAATCCCTATAGAAATGTCCTTCTGTTAGTTTTTAGGAAAAACTGTCTCCTAGGAGTGAATTATCTCAGCGTGTCTGGAGAGATGGTGAGGGAGAAGAGGAAGGTGGGGAAGGCCTCCGTTAGCATTGCATTTTTGGTAAAATACTTACATTGTACACAAAGCTCTCATTATTTCAGAACATCTAATCTTTATAGATGTCCTGAGATAATATATGGTAAAAAGTAGAAGTAGGGAATTAAATAACTTCTAAATACCTGTTACAATCAGCAGATCCATCTTGGATGGATTGTGCCACCTCTGGGCAATGAAGTCAGGACTGACTTAGAGGCTGGCAGGAGAGGGTAGGAATAGGAAGCCTGCAGGGAGAGAGATGTGTGCAGGTGTGCTCAGAATTTTACTTTGATTAGAACCATTGATGTATATGGTTCTGGTTGTCCCCTAGGGATATATATATTTAGTAGAAACATTCTTGCTAATAGTATGCTATAAGCCTACTAATGAGTTTTGAAATTGCTTAGTATATCTTGCTTTATGTCTCTTTAAATTGAGCATAAAAGAAATTCAGTATTTTAATTGTAACTCTGCCAATACTTCTGTCTAGAAGCCTGTTGCTGTTTTTGTCTTCAGTGAAATTTTTATCCCTAAGAAAAGCAGGAATGCATTTTTTTTTAACCAAACAGATTGAGTTTGTGTAGTTTATTCTTGGTTATCAAAATATTCATGTAGCTTTGGGATTTTGAATTGGTGAATTTGTAACATTTGGAAAAGCATGACACAAACCATAGATCTGTTACCTAAAAAGGGATGGGTGTATGTACATGGAGGATCTAGACAGTCATGTCCACCTGAACTGCTTGTGGCAGTAATACTTTGCATTTTGCGAATATGTTTTCTGTAACTCACATGTTAAATAAAGGTTATTAAAAAAAATAAAAATAAATGAAAATAAATGAAAGAGGGGGTTGGGGGTAAGCTGTGATACATAACTTAGTCTTCTCCTTCCATTTAAGAATATTCTAAAAAGAGAGGGGAGGTGTTAAGAAACATAAATATATAGTGTTTCTTGAAAATACCAGGGAAATGAGTAAGGGCTAAACAGCTGAAAGAGACTGCCTCAGAATAAGGTGAATTTTTGTTTTTGCAATACTGGGAAATAAATTCAGGTCTCACTCATGCTAGGCACCCACTTTTTTTTGGGGGGGGGAGAGTCTTGCCTAACAGGTGTGTACTACCACACCCAGCAGAACTTCTTCATTTATTTTATACAGCTTATCAAATTACCTGGCATTTTAAGTTATTTAAACTGTAACCCATTACAATTTGCTTTCTTTTTCTTTTTTTTTTTTTTTGCCGATTGTGGACCTGAACTCTGGGCCTAGGTGCTGTCCCTCAGCTCTTCAGCTCAAGGTGAGCGCTCTACTGCTTGAGCCACAGCGCCACTTCCGGCTTTTTCTGTTTATCTGGTGCTGAAGAATCGAACCCAGGGCCTCATGCATGCAAGGCAAGCACTCTACCACTGAGCCACCTTCCCAGCCCCCATTACAATTTGCTTTAAAGTTTTATTTAGGACAGAAATCAAAACTGACAATGAAGAAGAATGACTATTAAGCATACAGGTGGTGGTTTACCAGGGAGAGAATTGGGGAGAAAACATAAAACATAATTCTAGCTATGAGCATGTAATTGGAGACCAACAGAAGAGCAGTCAAGCAATAGAAAGAAGGAATCAAACTAACCCTAGCCCAAGATCAACTGGACCCCGATTAAATCCCAGTATGCTATCCTTTCTTGCTGTGTTCATTGTGATATAGAGACAGCTTCTCCTACCCAGTGTAGACTATCAGCCTGCTGCACTTCTATTCTCTCTTTTTTCCATAGGACCTCAGCTTATTCATACACTGTTTGGCTGGGATCCCTTAAAGCAGATGCCTCAAATAAAGGCAAGGTATACTATGTGTCCCGAATCATCGTCCACCCCAAATACGATGGCTCAAATGCAGACATTGCCTTGCTCAGACTGTCCTCCCAAGTCACCTTCTCTGCGGAGATCCTACCCATCTGCCTGCCCAGTACCTCAAAGCGGCTGAAGATCCCAGCTTCTTGTTGGGTGACTGGATGGGGACTAGTTAAGGAGAATGCAGGTGAGAATGGGCAGAGACAGAGGTTGTTTCCTACATCATCCTGGTGTTCCTATTCCAGAACATTCACATTCTAGCTATGTCCTTATTATAGCAAATGTTCTTCAACAAAATCAGATCCACATAATGATATTATTTACAAATAAAAAAAAGTTCTTCTGGCATTTACATGGTTATGTAGTCTTATATCCTGTCTGGAGTCTAACTACGGCGGTTAGAGCAGATACTAACAATTTAAATACTTAATTTCTTCTCTCTGGTTTAGAGCTTGACATAAGGTTTGGAGAGAGGCTAAACCAATTTGATTCATTTCCAATGTGTTGTGTCAACTATTTCCATTGGATGAAGTAGAGATAAAACAGGAATTGACTTGCAAGCAAGAAAATGGAAAAGTTTTGAAATACCTTAGAATACTCACATCTTTACTCAACCAGATGCATATCTTTATTTGGAATAACAATCTTTGTTCAGAATAATGACACAACAGAAAAATCCTCCAACAAATAATTGAAAATTCTCCACAACTTTCTATTTCATTGTACCAAAAATCCCTCCATAAGTTAACAAGATTGGGAAGTACCTGAAATCTGCCTTATGGTTTCTGTTGAGAGACTTCTACACATTTTGACTGAGTGGTGCCTAGCTTTCCAGGCTGTTTTACATCTCTTTCCTGTCCCTGCAGGAAGCTGAAGTACCTGTCTTTACCCGCCAGGAGTGTGAACAACTCTATAATCCAATCGGCATCTTTCTGCCGGCATTGGAATCAGTCATCAAGGAAGACATGATTTGTGCTGGTGATATTATAAACAAGAAGGATAGTTGTAAGGTTAGAGTTTGAGCTTGAGACTTTGTTTTTGGAACTTTGTCTTTAAGAGATCTTAATTTGGATCCTAGTTTCCCTATCCCTAAATAACAACAAATTGGGAGCTAACCATGATTCTTGTGTTACCCTGGACAAATCAATAACCTATCAGTTAATATAACAATTTAATATCTTCAAGGTTAAGATTATTGATCTAGACCAGTAATAATAAATCATTAAACTTTTCCAAACCTGTTAGGTCTTCATAAATATATTAAAATTAAACCATAATTGCCAACTTTTTAAAACGTTTTGTGTGCTGGTCCTAGGGTTTGAACTCAGGGCCTGGGTGCTGACCCTGAACTTTTGTGTGCAAGGCTAGCACTGTACTACTTGAGCCACAGCTCTACTTCTCAACTTTTCATGCTTAATAGGAGATAAGAGTCTCATGAACTCTCCTGCCAGGGCTGGCTTTAAACCACAATCCTCAGATTTCAGCCTCCTGAGTAGCTAGGATTATAGGTGTGAACCACTTGTACCTGGCTTTTTTTGTGTGTGTGTGTGTGTCTTGAGATAGTTTTTACTTTTTTTAATTGCTATTGTAGAGTTGATATACAGAGGGGTTCCAGTGACATGAATCAGATAATGAATAATGAATACAATTCTTTTTTTGGGGGGAGGGGGGGTCATGGGACTTGAAACTCTAGGTCTAAGTGCTGTTCCTCAGCTCTTCAGCTCAAGGCTAGTGCTCTACCATTTGAGCCACAGGGCCACTTCTGGCTTTTTCTGTTTATGTGGTGCTGAGGAATTGAACCCAAGGCCTCATGCATGTGAGGCAAGCACTCTACCACTGAATCACCTTCCCAGACCTAAAATTCTTTTTGAACCATGTCTCCCCTTCCAGTTGAGATCAAGTTTTAATGTCTAACTCAAGCTAGTTTGAACTTGATATCCTTCTACATCAATGTTGGAATTATAGGTATATACCACCATACCTGACTGTTTTTCAAAATATATTCTTTTATGAATTTCACAAAACTTGGGAATATTTCAGACATGTTTTCTTCAAACATTCCTCTGCCTCATTTTCCCACTTTTCCCCTTTATATGTAAATTACATAAGATATGCCGTTTGATATTTATAGACAAGTCCATTTTATTTTTAATACTTTCACTCTGCTCTTCCAACCATTTTAATCTGCATTGAAGACCACTATCCCTTTTTGCTGCCATTTAGACTGTACAATTATGTAAGTGCACCTTGTGCAATTTTTAAATTTCAGGTAATTTTTTTTAGTTCTAGAATGACCATTTGGTTTTATTCTCTCTCATACATACATGCATGGACACACACACACACACACGTGTGTGTGCATACACACATTTTTCTAGATCTCTCCTAAGAGCTCTGAATATCTGTATATTATTTGCATACTTCCCTCCACATGTATTGATCACACTTAGAATAGCTGCTTAGAGATCTTTACTTGGTAATTCTAAAACCAGAGTTATAATAGCAGTATTTTCCACTTATTGCCTTTCCTCCCAAGTAACAACTGCCAAGTGATCTTAGGAAACCTCTCTCTGTGTCTTTGTGTTGTTATTTGCTTTAACATCTAGTAACTTTGGATCCTATCCTGGATGTTGTCAGTGATGGGATGTTGGGAAGATGGATTCTTGTAAAGAATAGACCATTAGCTTGGCTGACCCCACACTCCAACCTGAGAGGCAGCAGCCGTCCCTTTAGTCTGAGCTGTGTGGCCTGGCACCCTACCCATCCTGCATGTAGTTCAGGGTCACCCAGCCATTAGAACAGAATTTACACACTGGGGCTTCCTTCATGTGGCTTTTTCCTTTCTGGTATTTTTCCCTTCACTTTCAAACTACTACAGTAGCTGGGAGCTTTATCTTGCTTCATAAGCCTTTAGGACTGTGGGTTTAAGTTTCAGCTGCAGCCACCCCATAGGATAATAACTGAAACTATGTTAGGGAAAAACCATTTTGTCAAAAAAAAAAAAAGTTAACTCTAGCTTCTGCCACTTCTGGCAACTCTCCACTATCTCCAGAGAATTGGCTTTTATATTCTGTCCACAATTTATAACTGTTATCTGCAGTATCTGAGAGAAGTTACTCTCATGTAAAACTTTAAAAACAGTCCTAAGAATAGCAGGCTACAACCTCTTCTTGAGAGCACAGAGACCATACACACTTGGGTGATCCTAAAATTTCTATGGAAATTCAAGTGAATGAGAACAACAAACTTGGTAGAGCCATACTTTTTGACGTCAAAACTTACTACAAAGAAACAGTAATAAAGACAGTTTGGTTCTGACATCAGAAAGACATTCAATTCAGGGTTATATGCTTATATATACAACAAATTGACCAAAGGATGGTATACTTAGGCAAGGATTCTAATGATGTAACTCCTCTGAACAACTAAGGAACCATTTAATCTAAGTTTGATCCCCAGTGCTGAAAAAAAATTGCACATAAATGTTCACAGCAACGTGATTTGTAATAGCCAAAAGGTGGACAAATTTCAAATATACATCAGCTAACGAATGGGCAAACAGAACGTAGTATAACAATATAATGGAATATTATTCAGCCATGAAAAGGAATGGAATATTGGAGTATAACAGATAAATCTTGAAAAAAGTATGCAAAGCTAATAGGAAATTATAATATTATATGATTTATTATAGTATTATATAATATATGATATACAAAATTATAATATATGATTTTGTTTATATAAAATGTCTACAATAAGCAAATTCATAAAAGGTAGATAGTAGATCACCAGTCTGTCTAGAGCTGGGAGGATTGGGAAAAAATGAGGTATGGAAGGGAAATGTTCATAATGAACATGGCGATACTGCGTAATACTATAAATATATTCAAAGCCATGTGTGCATCATAAGTGCAAATTTTATGGCATATGAATTTTATAATAATGAAGTTACACATATAATATGGTCTATCAATGTTATAAAGCTGTTATAAAAAAAAGAATGAAATTGAAAGCCATACTATCAACTACTATCACTTATTTTATTTCAAATGATTATTTGAACATAAAAAGGCAGTAAGACCCTAAGAACAGAAAACAAGAGCGGTTCATTCAAATGATTATTTCATTTTGTGAATGAAAGACTTGATGTATGAAAATTGATCACACTCATTTGATTCTGCTTTATCATGTAGCTGAATGTTTTGAAATGACCAAGATATTTTGCTAAGACCTTTGCCAATTTCAAATATTTTGGCTCTAGAATTCCTGTGGCCTCCTCCCAAGACTACAGTACAACATCCACATCCCTCAGAGTGCCATAGCTCCTGAGGTCTCAAGGCCTGTGCTGAAGAACATTCCCCACTATGAATACTCCTTTCCATACGCCTTCCACCAACTCATCACATTTCCCTCTTCCTTAGGGTGACTCTGGAGGGCCGCTGTCCTGTCATATTGGTGGCATTTGGATTCAAATAGGAGTGGTCAGCTGGGGAGTGCAATGTGGTCAAAGGCTTCCTGGGGTCTATACCAGTGTGTTCTACTATTAAAAATGGATTAATCAGGCTGGGAAGGTGGCTCAGTGGTAGAGCACTTGCCTTGCATGCTCGAGGCCCTGGGTTCGATTCCTCAGCACCACATAAGAAAAAAGCTGGAAGTGGTGCTGTGGCTCAAGTGGTAGAGTGCTAGCCTTGAGCTGAAGAGCTGAGGGACAGCGCCCAGGCCCAGAGTTCAGGCCCCACGACCGGACCCAAAAAAAAAAAAAAAAAATGGATTAATGACACTGCCTCAAGAGCTGAAGTCTTGGGAGCCAATGATCCTGACTCATTTGACTTCCTGTTCCCTATGATACTACTCTCTCTGGCTCTCCTGGGGCCTTTCTGGGCCTTTGGGCCTAACATACCTGGAGAGTAGGTAACATAGATGAAATGAAAAGAGGGTTGGAAGGCCAAGAGAGTAAATCCCAGGGGGCAGGGAGCTCACAAGAGTCACCGGAAATCCTGCATGACTTCCTTTATAATTTGAAATGATTAAGGTTCATTGTTCTGTGTTTCTGATGTTGGAATGTGAATAAACTAAGCAATAACACATTTGTGCATGGTATTCTTTGTCTCGCTAATGTGTTTTAGGAGGGAGAGGGGATGCCCTCTATGAATATATATTTGTTGTACAAATTACATAACTACTGG